TACCTGCTTCTGCCCTCTGAGTGCTGGGATTAAAGGCCCGTGTCACTACTGCTCCTTACATTTTCAAATAAGGTATTGTGCAGCTCAGGCTGGCATGGAACTCAACATGCATCTAGGAATGCCTGTAACCCAGCTTTTGGGGGCTGAGGTAGGAGGATCTCCAATTTCAGGCCAACCTGAACAAAATGGGCTGACCCAGACTCAAGAAAAAACCCAATCTAAAAGACTGAGGCTAGGAACAGTTAACATGTCTGTGGTCTGATGGAGGAAGGTCATTGGTTAATTATAATAAACCAACTGCTTGGCCTCATAGCTTAGAACATAGATGGGAGGAGTAAACAGAATAGAATTCTGGGCGGAAGAGGAAGTGAGGTCAGACTCTGCTCTGCTTCCGGAGAGACTCGACAGCTCTGCTCTCTGGAGCAGAGACGCCATGCTCCGCTCTCCCAATAGCTCTGCTTTCTGAGGCACACGCGATGAAACTCCGACCCAAGATGGACATAGGTTAGAACCTTCCTGGTAAGCGCACCTTGGGGTGCTTACACACATCATTAGAAATGGGCTAGTCCAGGTGCGAGAATTAGCCTGTAAGGGCTAGAGTTCATGGGCCAAGCAGTGTTTCAATGAATACAGTTTGTGTGTTGTTATTTCGGGCATGAGCTAGCCAAGCGGCCGGGGTGTTGGGGACGCAGCCCCGCCGCTCCTATTTCAAAAGTGGTCCCTGCTATTTGGATAACTGAAGCAAAATTACTTGGGCCCAGGAGCCGGGGCCAGTCTGGGCAACACAGAAGCCCTGTCTCAAAAAAGGGAGGTAAACCTGAGGATATAGTTGAGTCAGAGCATTTGTCTGTAACACACACCCTGGGTTTGATCACCAACACAGCACACACAAATAGGCAATAGACTGGGATGGATGCACGCAAAGGCCCGGAGACCAGCTCAGCATCAGCGGACACTGTGACAGGAGCAAAGGCCCTGTGTGTCATGTCTGTCACACTGTCCACATAAGGGAGGCATGAAGGAAGGCCCCAGTCACACTGTGTGACTCTTCTGAGCCAAGCTGTCGTAACCACACCCCAAACTAGGACATATCTTGACACCCACATTCTGTGGAAAATGACGATGAATCTGGATTTTTACCAGCTAAGCAATGGAAAACTGGTACTCTCCTTTAGTGGCCTCAGAAATCTACCTGCCTCTATATCCTGAGTGTAGGAATTAAAGGCATATTAATATTACCACCTGGCTAAAAAACTGGCACTCTCAAAACACATCCCCATTTATTACTGCTGTGATAAAAAATCTAAAATAACACTGTTGTAAAAGTTACAAGGATAAACATCTGGCAGATCCTAAAATTTATTGACAGGAGGCAATAAACTTAAGTTTTGTCAGGCAGTGGCGGTGCACACGTTCAATCCAAAGCTTAGGAGGCAGAAGCAGGCAAATCTAAGTTCGAGGCCAGCCTTGTTTACTGGGCTAATTTCAGGACAGCTGAGGCTACACAAAGAAATGCTGTCTTGAAAAAAAGAGAGGAAGGAAGGAGGAAGGAAAGAAATCTAAGTGTTGTGACATGCGCCTATAATTTCAGTACTTGGAAGGCTGAGGCAGAAGAATCTTAAATTTGAGGCAAGTCTGGGCTATAGTGATAACCTATGTAGACCAGGCTGGCATCAAACTCAGAAATCTGCCTGCCTCTGCCTCCTGACGACTGGGATTAAAGTTGTGCACCACCACCACCACCCGGCCTAAAAAATTAAAACATATATGCAGACAAAACGACCATAAACATAAAAAACAAACAGGCAGGCCAGCCCAGAAAAGCGGGTTAAAGTACAGGTGCATGAAGCTTTATGCAACTCTTTCCTCAGAGTTCATGAATCTTTCTTTTTTCATTCAACAGTCTAAGTATGTGGCCTAGGCTGGCCTCAAACTCATGATGCCGCTGTTTCAGCTGCTCCAGTGCTGGGAGACTTGATCATTAGGGGGAAAACTAAGAGCAGCTTCTCACCCTACAGCTTTGCTCCTACCAGGCATGGGGAATGCTGGCTTTAGGCCATCACCCACTAAAGTATCCTTTCATCAAGGAGTTTCAGTCCTATTCAGTCAGATGAGGACTGGGCACCAGTGACTTGTAAATGCCAGGGGCGAGGGGCTGGCTCAGTAGTTAAGTGCTTGCTGTGTTCAATCCACATAAAAAATAAGGGATGTGCATTTATAATCCCAGAGCTGGAGAGATGGAGGCAGGAGGGTCCCTGGAGCTTCCCTGTCACACAGGACATAGACAGTGTTCCTAAGGATGACACCCAAGGTTGTTTCCCACATGCACCTGAACAGACAGACACACATCCATTAAAAATAAATGTTAAGTGGAACCACGGACCTGCCTGGGCTGCCTGGGACCTTCTAGAATCTCAGACCTTGGAGGATTCAAATCCCTGACTCCCAAACCAACATACCAGGAACTGTCACCCAGTTTTCTCCCACCAAGCAAGGCAAAGCCCACAAGTCACCTAATGAAATGAACAATAACGAAGAATCCTAACAAAAGGCACCGCATGAAAGAAAGTGCCTATTTTATTAGACAACAGCTGACCCGCAGGGCCCAAATCCACCCTTAACACTACACGCACCACCAAAGGCCAGCACAAAAAACCTGCTTCCTGCACTCAGGACCCTGCCCCTGGGTGGGTGAGGCAGAGGGAGTGAGCTAGCCTCACAGAGGCCTCATAAATATTAGCGAGGTCACCGCTGGGGGATGCACAGGTACTGGACAGAGCTCTCTGGGGCAGCCTATATCATGCAGCCTCCTGTGTCTGTGGAGACCTGGGCTCGATATCCAGGCGGCACATAGGGCTGTCATATACCATCTGCAGGTTCACCTTGTGGCCCACCAGCTCTCGGATGTTGTTGATGCCATACTTGATCATCGTCGGGCTGAGAAGGAACAGTTCAACACTGAGTCAGATTAGGCTGTCTTTTGCTCCTCAGAAGCTCCCATCTTTCTCGGAGGGAAAGTCTTCCCCATGGTGAAAAGGATGTACCATCGGCCCAGTCACTCCCAAGCTCATCTTCCCTCCCACTCCCCACTCTGCTGTTGAAGGAGCGACAGGGCTGCGTCCCCAGCACCCGGCTGCCCGCATGGCTAGCTTATGCCCGAAATAATTACACGGAAACTGTATTCTTTTAAAAAACACTGCCTGGCCCGGCTAGTTTCAGTTTCTTATTGGTTAGCTCTTACATATTGTTCTAACCCATTTCTAATATTCTGTGTAGCCCATGAGGTGGCTTCCCAGGGAGGATCTTAACCTGCATCTGTCTGGAGCGGGAGAATCATGGCAACTCCTGGCTCAGCTTCTTTCTCCCAGCATCCTGTTATGTTTACTCCACCCACCTAAGGGTTGGCCTATCAAATGGGCTAAGGCAGTTTCTTTATTAATAAGAAATCACTCCCACATCACTCTGCCGGCACACCCCATGCTGAATCTAGACTCCGAGGCTTTGCGCGAGCTATGCCTTCTGCCTGGTACACCCTGCAAGCAAACTTCGCTGCTTTCTGGGCCTCCATGAAGCCTTCTTGACCAACTAGTCTCCTCAGTCCTGCTTTATCCTCTCTATGGCACCTCCTGTATCAACATGGCCTTCTGAGTTTCCTTATTGGCCATGTTAGCTGCCCTTCCTTTTCCACTAGGATCCAGGTTGCATAATATTGAGGAAATACGCTGTGGTGTTCACAGCTCAGGGCTAGCACACAACTGGGCATTCCTGTTAAAGAACTGCCAGAGGTATGAACAAGTGAATGACAGGGTCATCCCAAGCTCCAGCCTGGGCACTTACCGCTCCAGGGAGAGACCCCAAGCAATAACAGACACATTCTCGGGGAGCCCCATGGGCAGGAGCATCTCAGGGCGGAAGACCCCAGAGTTGCCAACTTCTACCCACTTCTTTAGACCTGTGGGAATAAAGGGGAGATCAGAGAATGCATGTGGGTGATAGCGCCCAGAGGATGGGAAGATAGGTTACGAGCTTAGGAAAGAGGGTGACCCAGGTCAAATGTGAGGCCCCTCAGACCCTCCTCCGCATTCACTTTCCCACCCCTGACCTTGGTGGTAGCTGAACACTTCCATGCTGGGCTCTGTGTAGGGGTTGTAGGCTGGTTTGAAGCGCAACTGGGTGATTCCTGTAGGGGTTGGCCAAGGCAGGCTGATGACCCAAGAGGCACCCTCTCAGGGACCCCAAACACTTCCTGTCTCGAGTGGCTTGCCTGCTCACCCAGCTTGGTGAAGAACTCCTTCAGTACACCCATGAGGTGGCCCAGGGTCAGTCCATGATCAGCTACTACACCCTCTATCTGGTGGAACTCAGCCAGGTGGGTGGCGTCCAGCGTCTCATTCCGGAACACACGATCAATGGAGAAGTACTTGGCGGGTGTGAAGGGTTTCTGGGGAGAAGGGGTGACAGCCAGATGAAGCCCGATCCTGGCACGGGTCAGAAGGTCTAGGACAGTACCAACGACCCACCCTGCGCAGGCCACGTTGTACCTTCTGGGCTAAGCAGTAGAGGGCGCGGGCACTAGCTGATGTGGTGTGAGTGCGAAGCAGGTTTTTCCGGGCCTCTTCTAGCTTCCAGTTATACTTGTAGCTTCAAAAGAAAAAGCAAGAGTCTGCCCTGCGGTCCTGGAACCCCAGCCTCCTGCCCCTCCTCAGCCCAAGTGCTCCTTCTGCCTCACCCCTGTGAGCCATAGCCACCCTGGGAGTGGGTCCGTTTCACCCGCTGAACATAGTCCATTGGGAGCTGCAGGGCCTCGGCGGGATCTGGGCAGGACAGAGACATGCGGTCAGTCAATGAGCATCTCAGAAGCTATTGCACGTCATCAGGCATGTCTCCATGGTAGCTCTGGTGCCCCAACAGCCGGAGGAACCTGGTACTCCTAAGATGACATTGTGATCCAGAACCCCTAGTTCCCCATGCTTTCCTCTTCACTGTGAAACAGCCTGAGTTTCCCTCTGGCTCTGACCCATTACCTCCTGCTCTGGTGTCCTCCCATCCTACTCGGCCATGGCCTGCAGTTCCAGGGTCACCAACTGACATTTCAGCCTTAGAACCTTGCACTGGCTACAGATTTGAGCTCCCTTACTTCCTTGTCTTTGTTGAGGGCTTTTAAAAAAAAAAAAAAAACTGGGACTCACTGCAGCTCTGGTGGGCCTGGAACTCCCTCTGTAGAGCAGGCTGGCCTTGAACTCAGAGATCCACCTGTCTCTGCCTCCAGAATGCTGGGATTAAACATGTGTGCTATCACCCCAGCCTTGCTTAGGACTGAAATGGCGCACAGCCTGCCTGGCCCTGCAGGCACACACTAGTTTCTGCACACAGCCTGCCTGGCCCTGCAGGCACACACTAGTTTCTGCACACAGCCTGCCTGGCCCTGCAGGCACACACTAGTATCTGCACACAGCCTGCCTGGCCCTGCAGGCACACACTAGTATCTGCAGTGGTTTCTCACTTCCTGCCCCACCACACAGATTCCACAGGACACCTAGTCAGGAAGTGGATCTCCCTGGGGCCGGGGACTTCTGCCCTACTCAGGGCTGACTCAGCTGATCAACAGGAATGTTGCCATTCAGGAGGGTCTTCAGAGAGGTCTTGCTCAAAATATGTGATTCCCCCCCCCCAATGCTTCCTAGAACCCAGGGCCTTCCTCAGGTTTGGCAAGTGCTCTAACACTAAGATGTAGCCCCCCACAAGCAAATAAACAAAACAAGTTTCTCTCCTTTGGGGTGTAGAATTTCCCCTTGCTCAGCATGCTGAGTGCTGGTGACAGGGAAGAGCCACTACACCCAGCTCACGCATGTGAATTCCCTGGGAATGTTCACGCCATAGCTTTGGTGCTTGGATACGTCTTTAGCATGTACCAGCTGTGCTGCCCTAGGCAAGTGATGTGCTTTCTGAGGTTCAGTTTCCTCAACTGTAAATGAGGGGCTAACAGTACCACTTCTGTAGTTGGAAGGTTCACAACAATGGAGTAGAAGATGAGTTTTGGGTACCATGACAACAGCAAGATCACTGCTACTAAATTGGCGACGGTCACCTAGGGAGCTCACCTGTCACCTCCTAGGGGAGATCACCACTGTGAGAAGCCACTCATATAACACTAAAAGGGCTGGCCTGTAATCAGTGACAGAGAACTGCCAGCATCCAGGAGACCCTGGCTTCCATCCCTAGCAGCAGCAGCAGCATACACACAGAGGAAACAAATAACTGGTCATGATGGACACACTTACAATTCCATCATGCTGGAGGCTGAGGCAGAAGGACAGAGACTGAGATCAGTCATGGTGACATAGTGACTTACGGGCCAGCCTAGACTAGAGTAGGACCCTGTCTCAAAACAAAACAATCCACATTAGTAAGGCAAGATGGTCTTAGCACTTAAGAAGCTGAGGCAGCCAACGGTACAGAGAAACTTTGGGTGACTGTCCAGGCAGCGAGATGTCTCTGTCATTTCTAGAGTTTTGATTTATTGTTTGCTTAGGTAATATTGTATCTTTCTGGACGCTTTGATGGAGTTAAGAATAGTTAGTTATAGTTTTCCTTAGTTATGATATGGATTATTGTAATTTTTACTTGATAACTGTTTCGTTATATGTAATTTTGCTATGTTAAGTTAAAGCCTTCTTTTTTTGTTTAAACAGAAAAAGGGGAAGTGATGTGGGAGTGTCA